GCTAAGCTTTGGAAACAACCCAAATGCCCAAAAATAGATGACTGGATCAAGAAGATGTGGTACATATACACAATGGAATATTACTCAGAAATCCAAAAAGATAAACACATGCAATTTGCAGCAACATGGATAGAGCTGGAAGGGATCATGTTCAGCGAAATAAGCCAGAAAGAAAAATAAAAATACCGGATGGTCTCACTCATAGCAGGAATTTAGAAAACCTAAGTAAGGGACCAGGAAAAAGACTAATTAATGCAAAGTAAAAATCAAAATCAACAAGCAACTATAAACCAGAGACACACTGTGGGGGAGGGGTGGGGAGAGGAAGGACTAGGGTCAAAATACGGAGGGGGGTGCAATTGTATGGGGAGTATAACCAAAATGATAGATAATGCATACATTGTGCAAAAATGAAAAATGATGTAAGAATTATATAAAATAAAATATTAAAAAAAAAGAAGAGAGATTTCTGTTTACCCATATAAGCAATGATGGCAGAGGCATTTTCCCTCCCCGACCCCCACCCGACCCCAACTGGGGATTTTGTGATTTTGTGAGTTCAGAGCCTCTAAAGCTGTCTCAAATAATCCCCTCCCTTCTTCCCTTCCCTTCCCTTCCCTTCCCTTCCCTTCCCTTCCCTTCCCTTCCCTTCCCTTCCCTTCCCTTCCCTTCCCTTCCCTTCCCTTCCCTTCCCTTCCCTCTTTCTCTATATGCCTCCCAGGGCATTTCTTAAACTGAAAGAATGTTTATCCCTTATGGCAGAGATGAGAAGACCTCCAAGGAAGAGTCTAAAGGGAAAGATAAGAATTATTCCCGAAAGATGGGCCGTGCAATCACATCTCACAGTCTGGCCCTGGGAAGATGAAGGGGCCAGGTGCTGGGAAGCAGCAGCTAAGAATCAAGCTGGGTGATTTGAGGTCAATCCTGCCATGCTTGGCTCATGGGAAAAGAGCTCAAATTGTCAGCTGACTGGTTTTGATTTAATTACATTGTGTGATGGTTTCTTAAAAGCATACAACACAATCCTTTCTCCTAAACATGGGTTTAATTTTCAACAAAACACTTCTTCGCATAAACAGCGTGTTGTTTCTGAACCCTTATTGTCATTCCCAGAACTGCTTTCAGCCTTTCAGAAACCCATTATTTTATAATTATAATCAAGACTATTAGGACAGGACAATGTGTGCCAAAAAGCACATTTACACTCAGAATTGACACTTAGCACTGTCACAGGGAGGTATCATCTCTATTTCTGTAGAAATCAAGGAGAATAGCGGACACTGCCTTTTAGATGTTCAACTTCTAGATGGCATGGGAGTTACTGATCTTGTCTAAATGATTCACCAGTCACTCCCCTACTCCCCTTGTAGAATAGCCGAGAACACCATGGCAGCTGTTACAGGTGGAAAGAACTCAGCCCTGGGAATCAGACCAACTTGACGTCACAACCTAATTCTCCCCCTTCCAATCATGCAGTTCACTCTTTGCACCTCAGCTTCTTCATCTGAGAAATGGCAAAGCTACCAATAATTGCCCAACAGGATGATTTTAACAATTACATGGATTAAGACACAGACTGGAATAACCCCAGATATTGCTAGACAAAAGTTTAGCAAATGTTGGTTATTATTGTGATTGGTACACATAAGCTATGTGACCTGGGACAAGTTACTCATCCTCTCTGGGCATCCCCTTCCTTGTTTTTAAACAAGTAGAGTGATACCTAACTCATAGGGTAGTGGTAGCAATCAGATCAGCACTCAAGAGGCTCAGTGTATGTGGTTCATTTTGATCAACCACTTGTTCCACAGGTTTCAGTTAGTTTGACTGGAAAAGCTCAGTGATCTCCATAATGGAACTCACAGTGTGTGATCTTCTTCCCACTGTCTGGAAAGTCCTTAGCTTTTGGAACTCCCCCAATAATCTCTGTGTTAAATCACAGGTCTGTGATTCCCTCAGAAAGTCAGACTGAGAAATGATAGAGCCACCTAAGGATACTTTTTACACGTAGTAACACTATTCAGGGAAGCAAGTTGAAATGAAAAGATCCAGAAGCTTGTTCAAAATCATATGGTGAAGATCTAGGAAAATAGAATTCAAAACCAAGTATACTATATAAATCTGCTGGACTAGTAACTATATTAAAAAGTCCATATAGAACATTTTTAAATCTGTACATCCCATATTTATTAACTATGGTTAAAATATTCCATGGGAGGAAAATAACAGCTGAATTTTGAAGCCCCTTCTGATTTTCAGAGTATTAGTACTCTTCAATTAGTAATATAGGTTAGTTAGTATTCCAGGTATTAGGCTGAAAGTCTGTGTCTTAAACATGAGGTATTTGTGTCTTCTTATTTAGCCAAGCTAAGAGAAAGGAGAATAATCGTACCAATGGAAACTTAGTCCAAAGGTCATGGTCTCTTGTTCCTCCTCCAGAGAATGCAACTTAAGTCCTATATAAAGGTGCATTGCTAAATTTGGTATACTTGGATTATATCAGATTTTATCCTTGTCAAGCAGATTTCCAGCGACACCTCCCTGCCATTTAATGAAACAGGAACAGCATTTAAAGGAATAGACTTATTTGAAACCATGCGGCAGAAAGGATCCCTGAGTTAAAGATAGTAATTGCTATAAATACAGAAATAGAAGGTTTCCCTGGAAGGCCTTTTGGAGGGACCAAGTATGGGCCCACTTGCCCGAAAGGCCTTAGAGCCTTAGCGAAAATAATTTAGTCCCTCTGCAAAGAGAGTGGAGCGGAGAGGCTTCATTCATCATTGTCGGAGGAAGTGGTTGATTTCGAATCCTGCCTGCTATCTCTTCACATCAGGCTCATCCTTCAGCCCAACACCCATCCATTAGTTCAGCCTTCCTATTTGGGGTCTCCTGCTGAGCCCTGCTCATAGCAAAGAGAAAACAAAAATGACGAGTGGTGGTGTTCAGATCTCTGTAAGAATCAGAGGCGGCATTAGAGAAACTCTCTCCATAGTTGGCTGTTAATATCAGAGAGATTGAGTTTCAATCTAAGCTCTGCCACTTATTGCTTGTGTGACTTCAGATAGGTGATGGGTAGTCTCAGAACCTTAGTTTTCTAATAGAGAATAATGCTGCTATTATTAGTGCCCATCTCAAAGGCCTGGTGTGAGAATTTAATTAGCTATCATATATAAAACAGTAGAATAGAACCTAAACTTCACCATTAGGAATAACTATTATAAGGAAAGACCTTTTCCCACTTTAGCAAAGTAACTTTTGGATTACTTGGAGTTGAGGGACCAAGCAGAAGTGGTTGAAAACATCCATGCCGACAGCAACAGCCATAGACAGCAAGAGACCCCCGCACCTCCGCCTAGTCTGGGATTTGGGGCCCTTAACTGGAAGGCATGGAGCACAGCATTCCCTGTAGAGACAACTCTTTTCTCCTTTATCAGTTCTTCAGATAAACAGATGTTGTCTGTACCACCCTCAAGATAAAGGCTTTGGAGGGGGCAGATGAACAGACATGTTATGTTCTCAGCCCTCACAGAGTTCTCAGCCATTCTTGTGAGAAGTCTTATGAGTTCACATAACACTCTCCAGGAAGTTGCTGGTAATTTCTAGAAATGTTACACAGTCCAGAGGAAGTTGGGATTCAGACAATTCTGAGTAGAGGCTGAGTCAGAAAGAAGCTACCTGATTACAGTGACTGTCCTCCCATGGTCCCAGGGGTCTGTGAAAACAATTTCTAAAATGTGGTTGAGAAAAGCACCCATTATCTCTTCCTATACTCACTTTAGAAAGTCCCACAAATCAGCCTTGCATTGAACAGTACATTATTTTTTAACATAACAGTCTTACCAAGGAATATTCTACACTCATTTTTATCTTTGAGTTTAACTAGACTCTCAGACAACTGAGACACATGTGTTAAATGTGAGTTTGGCTTTCCCCCAAAGTCACATTATCCAAAGGGCACAGGATTCTCTCTTGAGTTAGGACTTCAAACTGGAAAGACGCTATGCTAAAGCTTACTTAATGTCTTTCTTTTCTCTCATTGTTCTTCTCTAGCTCTAATTCTCTGGTTCTAATTTATTTATTTTATATAATTTCCTAGATCTAATGGGTTAACCTTATTGTCCATGTACACTTTGGTTGAAGTCCCCTCATGTCCTTGATGAAAAGAAATATTTTATAAAAATATCACTTGATATAATATATAGATATAATATACATATGTATTTGCTGAATGAGTCATTATTTCAGTGGACAATCCTGACAAGTGCCAACCATACATAAAATTCGGAGGTTTCACTTCTTGTTTTGCCATCTTTAAGCATGAAGTAATACGGTGCAGTGGGCAGAGCAGACCTGAGTAGTTAGGGTTCTGCCACTCATTTATTTTGTAGCCTAATCACAATAAATTTTCTTCTTTGAACTCAGGTTTCATATGAGTAAAATGTGGAAACTAATTCTTAATCTACTACCTAACCTGGATGTGAGATTTAGATGTGGTTATGACTAAAAGAGTATGTCCCAAGTTGTTGAGTATCTACACATTTAAGACCTAATAGTCTGTCCTCCATCTCTTTTTAACCCAGAGGATTTAAATGGCCTCAAAGAGCTCACACTAGCCTGGCCTTTTTCTCTATCCCTTTCTGTTTCTGTCATGTCTTTCCTTTCTTGTCCAGCTCAGCTTCAATTTTCAGAATACCCCTCTGGGAGAGGGGACTGTTGGGAAGGAGCTCAGTGTCCGTCCTGTATACAGGAAACTCTCCTGTTGTATTCTGGTTGTAGTCCCTTCTGGAGTCTTGTTTATTTCTTTGAATTAATTCACATATGCAGAATATATGTCTATTTTTGTTCAGCTCTATTTTTTTTATTTACTATTTTTTTATTTTATATATTTTTACATCATTTTTCATTTTTACACAATGTATGCATTTTCATCTTGGTTATATTTCCCATACAATTCCCACCCCCCTGATTTTGTCCCTAATCCCTCCTCCCCTCCTCCCCCTCATAGTGTGTCTCTGGTTTATAGTGGCTTGTTGATTTTGATTTTTACTTTATTATGATTAGTCTTTTTTCTGGTCCCTTATTTAGGTTTTCTAAATTCCTGCTATGAGTGAGACCATCCGGTATTTTTCTTTTTCTTTCTGGCTTATTTCACTGAACATGATCCCTTCCAGCTCCATGCATGTTGCTGCAAATTGCATGAGTTTATCTTTTTTGATTGCTGAGTAATATTCCATTGTGTATATATACCACATCTTCTTGATCCAGTCATCTATTTTTGGGCACAGAATGCATGCTTAAATATGAATACCCACATAGCTTTACTATCTTTAAAAAGTGCATCCCTTCAAGTATATTCAGAATCTAGCATAGATATTTGGATATAAGCAATTGTGTGAACATGAGTCGAGAACCCATCTTTAACAGCTATAGACAGTCAGACCCAGTGCACATGCTACCCTTGCACTATGATCACTGTCTTCCATGCAGACATGGTTGCACAGACACACATGCTCTCTCAGCACATGCATACACACAACCACCAGAGGTATGTGTACAAATGTATACACCCACTTTCACAAGCACCTAAAACCTAAGGCATGTTCATCAACTCTAAATATTCTTACAGAGAAAACACTGGAACACAGCCACAAGCATACTTCTGATTGCGGCCAAATTTCCAGTTTTTGATAGCTGTGGTTTCCAGATTTCCTCATTGCCCTTTCTTTGAGTACTCTCTTTAGAAGAAGTTGGGTAAGAGTACTTTTCTGAGAAGTCTCCTTACCATAACTGACATTAACCTCATGGACTTTACATTCTTAATGATAATATCTCCTATTTCCTCAGTTTGGTCATGGAGTGAGACACAGCGGCAAGACCAGGGGAGCTCTCCACCTCAAATCATGTCACAGCCCCAAGAAGGGTTCAGTTTTCCATCAAACCATTCTCTTTGGCTGCAAAAGAAAGCTGTCTGTTTCCTCTATCCTGTGGTCACCCCAGCTATTTCAGCCTCTGTGTTTCTGGGATGCTTAAGAAGATCTGTCCCCAAGTCACCCCTCTTCCTCTGCCTCTAGCCAGAGTTGCTTATTATGAAATCAGGAAGTTATATTTGTCTCCCTCTATTACTATAAGAGCCACTTTCAATCAAATTATTTTAATGCTACCTTCATGAAAGTCATAACTTAGGAGGTAATAACTTTAGAATGACATCAAGTGACAAAGTGACAGAGTATATTTTACATATTTGCCTGAAAGATAGTGGTTAAATATGGATATTTCCAGCATGTCACTACCAGCCTTATTTATGATAAGGGTCGATAGAGGAGACATGAAAAATGAGAACTGAATTTATAAAAACAAATATATCAGAAGTCATTAATTAATAGAACATACTAAGAAATTACCTGTGTGTGTGTGAATATATGTGAATCAGGTTTGCTTAGGAATTAGTTATAAGACTTTGACCTTTATAAGGAAATTGATTTATGGTAGAGGGGGATCAGCTTAGGAGCCTTCTGGATCATCAGATAGAATGTAAATTGTCCTTAATAGAAAGGTAAAAGTTACTAAGCACCTAGTTCAGCTGAAACTTCCAAAACTGCCTTATTTGAAGATGGCCAAAATGTAAAATATGATGTCCTTATACCTCAAAGGACTTAGAACTATGTCTTTTCCTAGTCTCTTGGGACTGAGAGTGGGGGTGTCTCTTTGTTCTACTTTAATTTGATGGGGTAAGAGTTGATTGGACTTTCCCTGTCATGGCCTTTGACTGAGTTGGCTGAAGCATCCACACACAGATGGTCTATGTTCTATCAGTCTTTGTTCCCTCTGACCGATGAGAGAGCAGTCCTGTTTATCTTATGCACCATGGAATCACCTGCTTTTGCACCAGGCCCAGATGTTGCAGTGTTTAGTACTGTGAACCGAACACATAGGGGCCCCACGTGAACGAGAAGCACCTCGGAAGCTTGTCCTCCTCAGGTGGAGGTTGTGTCTTCGTTCTGGGTGTTTTCTGCATCTGCCGCATTTTCTGGATTCCAGGGCTTACCATCCAGCAGGGCTTTTCTGAGCCGTCTCCAGAAGATGTGCCGGCCCAGGACACTGTCCTCCCACTCGAGGTAGGTATTCTTGCTGAGAAGGCGATACAGCTCCACCCGCTGTCGCAGCAGAGACTTCTCTACCTTCTGCAGGACGATGAAGATGATGCCTGCATGGCTGCTTAGAAACTGCCAGGTCTGGGCAATCTCGTACTCAAAGATGCACCATCGGCTCTGGATGAAGTGCTGAGACACGACGACAATGACCTTCCGGCTTTTGTGGAAACCTTCCTGGATGATGTTGGCAGCGATGGCCACACCAGGAATAAAGTCTCTGTAGTGAAGGCACAGCTGAAATCGGGGAACCCCCTCCTCCAGATTTTTCACTAACTCATTCCTCACCCAGTCCTCGTCCTGGCTGGAGTAGATAACAAAGGCATCATAGGTGCTTTCACCTCTGCCATACTTTTTGCAACCAACAAGGAGCATCAGGTGGAAATAGAACTTATAGGACAGAATTGCCACTAAACACACCACAAGCCCAGCAAGAACTGACACACTGATGACAGTCTTTCTTATCTGACATGTGGCATTCCTGAAACTCAGCACTGGCATACCCTGCATATCGTCAGGGGTGGCACACTCCATTTGTTCAGCTGCCACCAAGACCTGACTCTGGTCTTTGATCCACTGCAGGAAACTCTGGTGCTCACAAACACAAGCAAAGGCATTCTGAGTAAGATTTAAAGAAGCTAAACTACTTGGAAAATGATGTAGTTCTTGCGCCTTAGAGGTCACTATGTGATTAAAACTGCAATCCAGAACCTGGAGGTTGAGGAGAGGTTTATAAAGAAGTGCATCTAAAAACAAGAGGCTGTTGTGACTCATATTGAGCACCTGAAGTCTGGGGATGGAGTCAAATGCCATCTGGGAAACCCGTTCCAGCTTACAGTGGGAGATGTCCAAGAAGGTCAAGTTCACCATCCCTATGAAGATGTTTGGAAGGAAGTTATCTTGAAAAGAATTGCCGGCCATTTTCAAGACTTGGAGGCTGAACAGGCCATCAAAGATGCCATGGAAAATAATGTGGCTGTTAGTGCAGGATATGTCAAGGTAAAGGAGGTTTCTGAGTGACAGGAATACTGAAAAATCATTGATATTTTTCAAGGTAGAATACTGGAAATCAAGATATTCTAATTGCTCTAAGCCCATGAAGTTTGAGGTTATAGTGATCACGTCATTGAAGCTCAGATCTAAATACTTCAGTCTGGTTGTCCCTAAATGAGATTGAGAACAGCAGTGCTTTAAAGTCAGTGAATTTCTATAGAGATCTAAGTACTCCAAATTCGGTAGTTCAAGTTCAGTTAGAATGCTTGCTCCTTTGTTGTCCCTGAAAACCAACCTTTTGAGAGACTTGAGCATCAATATGGGAAATTGTTCAAAATGACATTTAACCATTTTTAAGTATTGCCATCTGAAATCACCAATAAGATTTGGTAACTTACTTAAATCCAGACTCACCAGAGAAATTGCAGAAACATTTACTAAACAATTTAAAAAGTCAGTAGTTTCCTCTGAGAACTTGTAGAAAAATACCATCCGAAATTCCCGAATTGTCACATCACACAGACCCTCTAGTGCAGATTTGTCGAATCTTTCTAAATGCCTTTCATTTTTAAATTCTCCCAAAACCAACTGATCAATTTTCAAACCTGCCAGACCTTGAATACAAGTTTTCATTATATCTGTATTATTAAAATTACTCCTCAAAGTCAGTTGATGAAGCTTAATTTCCTTAAAGGCACCTGGTTGGATAAAGTCTAAAGGATTCATGGATAAATCTAAGGAAAGTTTGGTTAGGGGCTTTTGGTATAAAATCTGCAAATCTCCATGGTAAATATTTCGTATCTCATTTTTGGAAAGGTCCAAGTGTTCTAGGTTGGTTAGGTTAGAAAAATAATCAGGTAACTTGCAGGAATGGATGAAATTGTGAGCCACATTAAGCTCTTTCAAGGTTTTGAGATGTCCAATGGGAAAGTCCTCTAGAGATACCAGGGTGGCCTCCACTGCCACCAGCTTCTGTAAATTTGGTAGTCCAGAAAAGGCTCCCAGGGATAAATTCTGGATAGGGTTTCCCGTCAATATCAAGGTAGAGAGTTGGTTTAGGCCATGGAATGCATCATCTTCAATCATGAAAATTTCACACCTACAGGCAAAAAAGATATAGATTACATAATCTTTCTGCTGAATAAACACCCAAAAGGGGAAAACCAATCCCAGCCATACGGTTTTCACACATGTGACATGTCATATGATGACTGTGCATAGGCAGAGATCAAGAGAGGCAGATGATGGCATGAGCAAACATGAAGATCTACAGGCTCAGCACTCTTGATCATACTCTTCACACTAGGTGTACAACATGCTAAGCAAAGGGAGCACATCCATCAGAAGGAAGCCAACCCAGGATCTGGGCACATGAAGACTATGTGACTGACAGAGTCGGTAACAGTCTTGAATCAACCAGTCATTTCCAGCAACATGTAATTATGATTATACATCCTGTTAGTGCAGAGGACACAGAGAGTTTTAGTTGTTAGGCATGATTAATGACTGGAGAATGTCAATTTCAAAGATTAAAAAAAAAAAAAAAACACGTATTTTTCTTTTTCCTTCTGGCTTATTTCACTGAGCATAATTCCTTTTAGCTCCATCCATGTTGCTGCAAATGGGCTGAGTTTATCTTTTTTGATTGCTGAGTAATATTCCATTGTGTATATATACCACATCTTCTTGATCCAGTCATCTATTTTTGGGCATTTGGGTTGTTTCCAGGTTTTACCTATTGTAAATAGTGCTGCAATAAACGAAGGTGCACAGGTCCTCTTTTTAATCACTGTTTTTGTGTCCTTTGGATAGATCCCTAGTAGTGGAATTGCCAGATTATATGGTAGCTCCATTTTTAGTAGACTGAGGAACCTCCAGACAGCTTTCCACAATGGTTGGACCAGTTTGATGGTTTCACTTATAACAGGAATATAGGGGAACCAAATAAGATATCAGTGTAAAAAAATAACAGTACAAAACACAACAAAGCAAAAACAGACAATTATAAACCAGAGACATCCTGCAGGGGAGGAGGAGGGAGGGGGTGAGAGGGAGGGAGAGAGGAGCATAGAGGACTGAGGTGATGGTGCATGGGTGCCTTGGGGAAGGAAATTCTATGGGTACTCAATCTGAGGGGGTGAGGGAAAGCAAATATTTTTTTTTAAATTAAAAAATAATAAATATTAAAATAAAAAATTCAAAAAATACACAAATGGGTAGCAGATACCCTTAGTGTTTATGATAAGTTTTCCATATACGATAGCTAGATGTTTGAAAATTAGTTATCATGGTACACTATTCTGATTTATAGGAAATATATATATATATATATATATATATATATATCTCATCATTCATATGACCAAAATATATTTCTCATATGTTTTGATTTTCATCCACATTTCCTGGTTCACACACAACACCAGGAAATTTCTAAAGTGTTGAGAGTGGTAAAGGTGTCTCTTATTATGTTAATTAAGGTACCCTTTGGAAAACCTATGGGGGGGGGTGGTTACCAGGGAAACTTACAAGAACAGGAACCATTAAACAATTGTTTAATAAAAAATTACTTATTGCTTTTAAGGGAGGAAGGCTGATCTGTCTACCTCAGTACCTTTATTATGAAATTCTTACTCAGAAAACTGAAAATTCAAAAGTAATGAAATGCTATAATAATACTATTTTATAACTATGAAATATATAGTTTATATTATATATGAATATATATAGCATGTTTGTGCTCATTATCACATTTAACCCTACAGAGTAAGTTTCATCATTTCTGTCTCACAGATGAAATCTGAGCCTCAGAGAGAGAAAATGATGTACCTCAAGCAACATGGTTATAAATGCGGAAAAGGACCTACTGAGGGTCTTCTGAGCCTCATGGGATCTAGGTTCTGCCTTTAAAATGCTCTATTTAACCCTTGGCTATAGTCTATCAATATCCAAGTTAGAGCATAAAATATTAGATGCTCATTCTTCTATAGAAATGTCTGCTCTAAAGATGATTTTCCTATTATACACTTAGTTCTTACGGTTTCCACGGTGAAAAGACATACATAAAATGTTTGTATTTTTTTTACCAACTGGTATAGAGAACGGGATGATTATCTAATAATTGTTTAATAAGACCCTTGATGATAAAAAAACTGGCTCAGGATTCAGTACCCTCCCCCCAAAATAATGATAGTAACATCACCTCTCCCAATATCAGAAAACCTTAGCCACTGTTTCTTCTCACAGCAGATGTTTTTGCCTTTGATGTTGCAATCTAGTCTTTGGTTTACTTTATCTCCTAATCCCCTGTCCCCTACCCTGCTTTCAATATTCCAGACACTGTTTGAATCCCACTTGATTTCTGAAATATATATTGTGCTACCATTGCAGAGAAGGCCCCTCTTGTGACCAACACAATGTATTGCCTCTAATTTGCATATATTTTATCACCCCCTGCTACATATTACACTTCTTATCTCAGGTACGAATCCACAATCAGAATCAGGTAACATTCGTCAAATGTCTACTATGTGCCCAATACCATGCTCCTGATTTTATCATATTAATCCTTTCAAGTGAATATGCCCTCCTTAATAGCTGGGATTACATGATATCTATCAATATACTCTTTCTTTCAGTGTTCACCATATAGCAAGGGGCCAAAAAATATCTGCCAATGAAAGAATTAGAGTCAATTTTTTCCCCTGACTTAAAAGAAAATTCAAAAATAGAATTGTTGTTAGGAACTATCACTTGTCCAATTGCTTATTTCTGAGACCAGCAGAAGGGAAATGGCTTGCCCAAAGTTATACAGCAACTGAGGCATCTACCGAATGAATGAATCAATCAATCAATAAATGAATGACTGAAGTTGACAGTCCATCAACTAGGCTTTCTGGTTCAACCTTGGAATGCTAGACCAATGAACATCTCACTTTGTGCAGTGTGTAAAAAGCTCTTTCATTACCTGGCTAAATCCAGTACCTGTAGTTCTAAGTAGTTGGAGAAGCTATATCTTCCTAAATGCTTCAGGGGGTTAAAGCTCAGGTCCAGTTTCTTAGCTGATATGGGTATGTTGTCAGGGATTTTGTCAAGATTCAGCTCCATGCATTGGTAAGTAACATTAGGAACCACCTACAATGGAAACACATTAAATGCAGTATTTTACTTAATATACCTCAACAGAGCCCCATTGCAACTCCCCGGTTTAGGCCAGAGTCTGGAGGATCTCTCATACAAGCACAGGGGCCAGTCAGTCTTCTTTCATGCATGCACACATCCATCCATCCATCCATCCATTCATCCACATTTATCCTGTCACTTCATACTTATGAAACACTTATTCTAAAGAAGGGTAGAACATCTTTTATGTATCCAGTGTTCTAACCTTTACTGTACAATAGTATCATTTTGCAAGAAGCAATGGAATCAAGTGGTAGAGAGCTAAACCTCTGGAGTCCAGAAGCTCTGGATTTCTCCATAGCTCGTAAGTATGACTTGGGGTAAAGGGTATTTTTTGCTTCTTTTTGTTTCTAAATTGCACCCCCCACACACACATATTCAGCCTTGGGGAGGTTTCCAGTTAAGGTATCCACACTTCCTTAGTCACCACCCAATTTTTGTGAATTGCATTTTCTCAATCTTGGTTCATTGACCTTTGAGCAGGTAATACAGAAGTGGGGAAAAAAATCTCCCCATTTAAGGTCTTAGAGCACATAGTTTCAGTGGTGGAACCTAGCAAGTGAGATCAAGGCTTTGTACTTCCTTGCTTCCAGTGCTGGTTTCTATAATACTTTCCCCAATTTTTTAAAATCTCATTCTCTAACCTCCAGTTTAATTTTGAATTCTGATTTGTTCATTGAAATTCCTTGCATAAGCCAGCTGAATTTTATTTTCTGTTCTTTAAAACCAGTATGTTCTGTTAAAATGATTAAATGAGATTAGGTAATTTTAAAGAGATTCTCTCAAAGTCTACTTCAGTATAACTGATGAGTAAATATTAGCATTTTTATTATTAGCCATTATTAATTCCCTATTATATGTCCCTGTATTCATTACAAGTTATACACTTTAATCTCCAAATTGCACTTTTTTTTTTAAAAGATTTATTTATTTATTTATACAAGCACTGGGTACAGTCAGAAGTGCGGGAGGGTGAGAGAATTCACCAGAGCCAGAGCGGGGAGGAGAGCAGGCAGAAGGACCGAAGTATACTGCCGAGGGGAGCAGCGGGCGGCAGGAAAGGACTGAGCACCATGTGGGACCCCCATCCGGTGGCCAGGGAGCAGCTGGGGATTGAACCAGTGCTGCAGAGGCTGCGGGCAGCTTCGCAACCCAGCGCTCAACCGCTGCACCACCGGGGAGGCCCTCCAAATTGAACTTTTAATGAAGAAGAATTCAGAGAGATGAAGCAATATACATAAAGGCCCAGAGGTTGTATGGTAGCTCTTAGCTTCATTTACATATCTACTTAAATGTTGCCCTTAGTAGCAACCTCACCAACCATACCATCCAATAGAGGGTGGTCCCAGAATTTCTTCCCTCAGCCTCTTTTACCCTTCACAGTTATCTCACCATCTAACACTATGCTGTTCAGGTGATTGTTCCGTAGGCATTATTCAGCTCTCTCACTAGATTATAAGCCTAAGGCTTGACCTTTGCTACGTTTTTGGCACTTAGAATGGTTCCTGGCAAATGGTTGATTCTCAAAAAATATTTGTGAATGAATGATTGATTGAATAAATGTTTGTTTAAATCCAAATTGTAGGCATTCTCTGCTAAATGCTGTGGATAGTACAGGGACAGATACGATGTGACTCCAAATTTCAGTGAGTTCACATTGTAGAGTAAGGTCTTAGAAGGAGCACAGTTCCCTTCTGGAATGGGCTATAAACCAGGCTTGGAAAATATTCCCTCTGTAGGGCCTCCCCTGGTGGCGCAGGCGGTTGAGCACAGCGCTGTGAAGCTGTCGGCAGTCTCTGCAGTGATAGTTCGATCCCGGCCGGCCGGCGAGGGTCCCATATGGCGAAGAAGACCTCTCCTGTCTTGCCTGCTGCTCCCCTCAGCAGTGTATTTCATTAGTCTGCCTGTTCTGTTCCCCCCTCTGTCTCTGGTGAACCCTCTCACCCTCCCACGAATCTGGCCTGTGCCCCAGTTCTTTTATGAATAAATAAATAAATCTTAAAATATATATATATTCCCTCTGTATCTAAGGATCATAGAAGGCTTCCAAGAAAGGTTTCAAGGAGGCTCTTGAAAGATGAGTAAGAGTTGAAGACATGGTAAGGGGGAGAGAGAACAGTGTAAGGAAAGGGATGGACAATTAATTATGATTAGGTGGAACATAGCAGGAGTGGTGAAACCAGAGCCAGAGGGGAAACCATAGCCAAATCAGGAGCCATAGACTTCATCATGTGGCAATAGTTTTAGTCATTCAACACATAGGAATTGAGTGGTCACTCTGTGCTAGGTAGTGGGGAAACAGAAACCAGCAATGATGACTCTCCTACAGATATCACTTCAAGGGGAAAAAAAAAAAAAAAAAAAAAGCAAAATACATATAGAGAGGTACTATTAAAAAAAATCAGCATAAGAAGATTAGAGGCAAATATTGTGTGTGGGGAACTCTACATGAGCCAGTCAGGAAGACTTACTGAAGGAGGAGACATGTAAGGAGAAATCTGACTGCAGAGCTGGATTAAATTCTTGAAAATATCTAGGATTGCCCTTCCAATAAGACAGCCACTAGCCATACATGGTTATTAAGCATGAGAAATGTGTAATCTAAACTGAGACATATGGTAAAAATATATACTAAATCTCAAAGACTTAGTGCCAAAGAAAAACTGTAAACCATCTTATTAATAATTTAGTACATGTTACATTTTGAAATAATATCTTGAATATATTAAGTTAAATAAAATATTACAAGTAAATTCAGCTCTTTTTATATTTTTATTATGATTACTAAAAGATTTCAAATTATATTTTTAATTTAATTAGTTAAAATTCAGCTAAATAAAAATGCAATTAATTTTTAATGTGTTTACTGTAAATAGTATCATGTGGCCCATATGGTATTACTCTTGACAACACAGATCTCGGGAGATGCATTCTAGCTCCAGGAAATGCATTCCAGGCAGGGCCTTTGCCTTGTTAGGGTGGTATTAGGAAACCACCCTAACAGCCATGGAAAGTTGTTATAAATTCTCATGAAGACTAATTTGTTAGAACCCAATCTCAGGAAAACAACAAAACATAAACCAGAAACAAAAATATGCAGAGTGGATTAAAGGAAGGGGTCTATGAAGTTAGGGGACCAGTCACTGCCCAAGAGGACCGTCCTAGGGAGGCGCTGAAGGATGGGCTGCGATGGACAAGCTTTGAGACAGAGCATATGGGATTTGGGGAAAGGGAGGAGCCAGGGTGAATGTGATTATATCCAAGGTGACCCAAATTGGAGGATCCATCTCCATTTCCCTAGTAGCCTGAGAACTACAGAAAAGGGAGTCAGGATAGGGGTATGGGCAGGACACTGGGGAAGGGAGAACTTTGTGATAACAAATCTTTGTTCCCTATAAAGTGCACTGTTTTCTCTCAGATTCTCCATTTCCAAACTCTGGCTAACCATGCTTTTCTTGAGTTTCTCACCCTGCACACCCTGAATTCCAGGCTGTTTATTCCTACCAGAGGTTTCTAAACAACAGCTCCATCTTGAAGAATTACCAACCAGCTGGTTGGTGTTTCCAAAAGAAGAGACCATTGCTTTACCTGACATTTCCTATCTCACTCTTTTTTTCTCCTCTCTCTCTCTCTCTCTCTCTCTCTCTCTCTCTCTCTCTCTCTCTCTCTCTCTCTCTCTCTCTTTCTGTCCTTTTCCCTATTTCTCTGTCTCCCCTTTTCTTTTCCAGTCTCTCCTTTTCATCTTTTGGGAAGAACTGAATGACTAGATTCAGAAGTCTGAAACCTACTTAAAAAATTATTTCTATTAAGAATAAAAAAAAAAAGGCCTCCCCTGGTTGAGCACTGGGCTGCCATGCTGCCCACAGCCTCTGCAGCACCGGTTCGATCTGCAGCCACCAGTGAGGGTCCCACATGGCACACAGACCTCAGCTGCCTCCCGCTGCACCCCTCAGCAGAGTACTTCGTCATTCTGCCTGCTCTGCTCCCCGCTCTGGCTCTGGTGAATTCTCTCACCCTCCTGCGCTTATGACTGTACCCAGTGCTTGTAAAAATAAATAAAAAAAATCTTTAAAAAATTTTAAAAAAAGAATAAGAAAAAAAACCAACCAACCAACCAACCAAACAAACAAAAAACCAAAACAAGCAAACAAAAACCTCTTCCTGAAATGGAAAGGGGGTAAAGTGACAACTTGAAATTGAGTTTGTAAACCTTAGGCATAGAGGAATCACAGCAAGCAGCCTTCTTATAACCCTCTGTTAAAGTAGGTGTTATAATTTCTTTATAGCTGTGAGACCTAGTCTCAGAGAGGTTTAATAACATCTTCAAAGTCACACAGCCCTGAAGTCAGACAGTGATTTCAAGCAGGTCTGTCTATCTGATATAAAGACCTCATTTGTAAAGTCTTCCGTGGGACAAAACCCCATAAACCACCTAATTGTGTCCTATGACCATGAATTGTTTGGTCCTATGACTTCTGAAGCCTTTAAGGTAATACTTGGCTCCTCTTTATAAAGTTCTGGGCACAGAGCAGTTTTTCAGAAGCAAAGCAAAGCTCACAGGAGGTGAGTTGACTCCTACTACATACCTGCACACAAGGGTCCCAGCTCTCTGGTCTCAGGCCAGAAAAGAAGGCCAAGGCTGGGATGATCAGAGCCCCAGCCAGGTGCGTGGAAGCCATCATCCTGGCATCTTCTCTTAGGAGATGTGGCCACCATGACACACCGCCGCCAACCACCTGCTGTCACTGTGTCACAGCAGCCTCCTCCTATGGCACTGCTGTCTCCTTTCCTAGCTCGGTACCCACGCAATGACTGTATTCAAAGCAGAGCTGGGTTAAGGGGCAAGAGGAAGTGAAAGTGGCAACCTTAGCATTCTGGACTTCTGCTTCTTTAATAGCTATCTCCCCTGTCTTAGGAGGGGAAGTTAGAAGAAAATGTCCACAGACTAAGGGCTGGAGTAACAAGAGGAAGCTGGCTTTTATCCCAGGAAATCATCTGACCTCAGGGTTTGTAAATTTAGAGAAATAATAGTACTGGTCAAACTGTCTATTCAGCTATCTAGGACAGTAGCTTTCCAATTTTGTTTTTGAAATGGAAACTTTCTGTCTGTAGTCATTGCTAGGGCTGCCGTCACAGAGTACCACAGACTGTACATTATTTCCTCACAGTTCTGTAGGCTAGTAGCCCCAGACCAAGCTGTCAGCAGGACTGGCTTTTCTGAGACTCCCTCGTTGGCTTTTAGAGATTGTCTTCTCATGGGCTTCCCTCTGGAATTCAGAAAGATAAAGTCGTGGGACAATAGCCAAATGATATAAACTACTAAATCTTAGTTTTCTGGTTTTAAAATGGAGATGACATAATATGTTTTGCTTAATTGAAATCAGTGAACTTTTAAAAAAATGCATCATCTAACACATAGTTCATCAGAACATTCTATAAATTGATGACTACAATGGTTTCTTAAATTATAGACAAAATGGGAATAATAATATGCACTCAAGTGATTTTCATGGGATTAAATAAACTGGTATTTGGAAACTCTTTAGCATGGTATCAGGGATGAACAAGCACAATGTCAGTTTCTGTTAAATAAGAACACAGTCTAAAATGGGACTATCCCTGGTATCAGGTCCTAGATAGTTCTACCGAGATGTTCCATGTGGATCTCAAAGCCAACATGTCTAAAATTAAGTCTGGAGATGCCTGTCATAAGGGGCTGAGCACACTCTCACAGACCTCTTCAACACAGCTGTAAAATGAAGCTAAAAGTTGTTCCCCTGCCAAAATTTTACTGTGAAAATTACAGGTTCCCCCTGCTTTTCAAAAGTTCACCTTATACCACTCACTTCACTTTGGAAAAGACTTACATTAGCTGCTGTTTTTGTTACAGGGCAACCCCAATATAAAATGGGTTGCCTGACCGTGGGTCCTCACCAGCACTCTTAAAAGGTCTTACACTGCAGGCACACACAAAAGGTTAACAAGGGTTTATTTACAAGGGAAAGGGAAAATGAGGAAATGTACAACTCAGGGAGAAAAGAGGGAGATAAATGCTTAAATGCGTCCTACCCATTCCGCCAACCTGGAATCCCAAATGACCTGCCAAGACCAAACCTGCCTGGCCAAGAGCATGAGCCAAGTGCCCCAGACCCCACTAACGTGGCTGGTTTTATTTACAAACAGAAAATAGCTGCTTAACCCCACTGTTAGGTCTTCAAAACTTCCCTTTGGGAATCATGGGATTTGTAGTTCCCAGTGTCTTAATGGAGTGGGGGTGGCATCCACAAAGCCTGTGTGGCATTTGCTCAGGACATCCTCTCCCCCTAACATTTTCACTAACCAGGAGAAAACCAAAGAGGATAATCACTTTCACAACAGAAGTCATGCTTAGCATTTGCCCTGCAGGGTAGTGTTCCAGGGGTAGAAAACATCCCAGCAGCAAGCGTAAACACCTTCCCCAGGAACAACTCTGTGTAGGCTGTGTCTTTGCACATTATTCATGATCCTTCCATATGTTGTACTGTATATGAGTGTTGTTTTACAGTTTATGGGTTCTTTGGTATAATTCGGTAGCTTATTTGAGGGGTCTGGGAATGCCAGAACATTTTTCCCATAAACATGATAATTACATCTTCATGTTACACCATTTCTGCTCATAAAAAAATTTCATAAGAACACTTTACTTTTAAATAGTAAGGACACCTGTGATTGAGACTATGTAAAGGACTTTGGGCAGTACCTGGTGTGTTGTAGGTCCCCTGATGAAGTTTAGTTCCCTGGAAAGTAAATAGCATTTTACACCCACATAGTCATTCAAGATGGAAATCTGCCTTCCTCATTTATTTTACTGTGTTTCTTTTAATGTGTATTAATTATATTTTCTTATTTTCTATATTCTTGATGCTCTGGCAACCTGGCTTTTGCTGACTGGGCATAGACCACTTCTCCCAGGACCAGATAATTCTTAGCAATGGCAAATGATTTGCCCTAAAGGGCACCTTTCATATATAAACTAACTGATCCAAAGCCAATACTCTCCACCCCTGCCTTTATTTGGCTGTTTTACTCTAGGGGGCAATATTTTTCTGACCTAGTCTTCACAGATCCAGGTTCCTGAGAATGCGAGAAAGCCCTATACCCTAGAGCCTAATGAAATTATTCAAATTAGCCAGTCCTAAGCCTGCTTACCCTGATTTCCCTTCCCTTTCCCACAGAAACTGTGACAGAGGCTCCTACTATAGTCTCCCTTTGCCCTTTCTGTTTTTTTTTTTTTTTTTTAAGATTGATTTATTTATGTCTACAAGAGCCGGGATATAGGCCAGAGGTGCAGGGTGGTGGGTGGGGGAGAGGATTCACCAGAGACAGAGTGGGGAAAAGAACAGGTGGATGAACTAAAATCTACTGCTGAGGGGAGCAGCGGGCGAGGCAGGAGAGCTCTGCTGCACCATGTGGGTTACCTCCCTGGCTGGGGAATCAAACTCGTGCTTCAGTGGCTGCAGATAGCTTCATAGTGCTAAGAATTAACCCCTTGCACCACCAGGGAAGCCTGCCCCTTCTGTTTTTTTAATGGACCCAGGTGCTTCCCCACATGGTGCTGCAGGTATAGGGTGTACCCTCCTCTTAGGAACTGAGTAACTGCCTTTTCAGTGGCAATTATCTCCTGATCTGCTGGTCTCACCACACTTGAATAATAAAATTTATATTTTAAAATAAAACATTCTACCAAGTCCTAGGGATTTTATCTATAAAATGATTCTAAAATGTCAGCCTATATTTCTTTTAACATTACCTTTAAACCCTTGACCTAGATACAGGCAATAATAAACTGTTAGCAGGTCTCCCAGGGTCCAAACTCACTCTGTCAATGTTTCAACAATTCCCATCCATCCTGTATCCTGCAATCAAAGTGATCTTCCTAAATGCAAAAAAGTACCTCATACCATGTTAATAACTTTCTCAGGCCTTGTATTGCCAAGATTTCAAGCACCCTGGCCTAGCCCTCACCACACAACAGCACATGTACATGTGCGCACACACACACACACACACACACACACACACACACACACAGAAGTACAAACCACCTCCCCAGAAGGAGAAAAAAGTATTGTTATTTCAGACTAAAAATAACTAGACCCATTACCAAAACATAGAACTTAGGTGTGTAGAGTAATAAGATAAATATGTAATGGAGCAAATTATTTTCTTCTCCTTCGTGGAAGAGAACATTCCTTCATGGTCAAAATAAAGCCTTGGAGAATGGGTCCAAAAAGATCCCCTGGACCGTATTCCATGGAGGACTAATACACAGGTTTTTATAGAGGTGGCAGCTTAAGGTGTTTGGAAAAAAGATTTGTCTTCCAAGACCTCTAGCTCATCTGGGAGCTGACCTGCACAGTCATTGTTGGTTCCTTCTTCAGTATCCTCTAAGCCCTCATCCCCAAAATCTCTCTCTCTCTCTCTCTCTCTCTCTCTCTCTCTCTCTCTCTCTCTCCCTCTCTCTCTCTCTCACACACACACACACACACACACACACAAACACACACACACACACACATATACACACACACACACACACACACACACTCCATGCCAAAGGGATCTCACTTTCCTCAGAATTTCCTTAGAAATATTGCCCTGGCCATTAAGCACACTTTGCCGTATCGAAAAGCATGTTAACAGTTCATGCCCACCCCACCCTCAATGAGGAACTCCCCCAGGAGAGAAACCTTACTTTCCACATATGTGCACTCTACATTGTATTTTACCCTATAGTCAAAGTCAATGAAGGAAGGAAGAAAGGAGACAAGGGAGGGAGGAAGGAAAAATAAATGTGTAGACTTGATAGAATGAATTTTTTCAAGTGAAGATGGGAAAGATGTCCATAACTCATCTCCCCCAAACAAAATAAAATTAATTGGCACTACAATAAGGCACAATGTGAAGCTCGGAAACGATGGCTCTAAAAGAAAAAAGAGTCCTCATTCACTAAGAACTAAAGTGAACACTTGCTCCATTCCCTTCCATGGAGGTGTGCTAGGACTCCATAGTCAGGGCTGCACATTGAAGCCCCAGGCCAGCTGCCTTGGTGCCTCCCAATAGGCATCTACTCCATTTCTACAACCCACGAGACTTTGCTTCTGATCAACCCCAGTCCAGCTGGGGAACACATGCTAGAGGACTGGCCATTCTAAAATTTCTCTTCTACTCTTGGTTGGTGATGCCCATGGAGGTCCCTCATTGCCACCTAAATCTTTCACCTTAAATGTGCTGAAAGTGAGTTTGAAATTAGACTCAGAGCCATATGGCAAAGCTGGGGGACAGCATATGGTTGCAGCTTGCTGAATGCTGATCTATAGGATCTGTAAGCTCACCTTCCATCTCTCTTTACATGGGAGGTGGCAGTGGGCTTGGAGCTCTGTATGTTTCATGTTCTGAGCACTGTTCTTCATGAGGGAAAATGAGATTCACAATGTAACATTCATGTTAAAATATGTTCCAGTTTTCTTGGTCATTTTGGAATATCTATCCTCACATTTATGAACAATGAGAAGTGAACTGTTGGGGTAGACTTTCTGTTTGTGAACTTTAACTATGTTCTGTCTAATAGAAATGTGACTTTGTCAACTTAATTAGGTTTTGCTTGCAGATGTAGGTCATGCCAACATAAACTGCCGATGGGGACAAATCAGACCTGTGGAAATAGGTGCATACTGCTGAATAATTGATACAGTGAGATTAAGTGGATAGAGGAGTGCTGATGTCAAAGTATGAATGTGCGTTGGGTCATT